AAAACATGCAGGATAGCGGCCCTCGAGGACTGGAGTTTGACACCCCTGCACTAGGTCGTCTCCACATGAGAGGAATACAGCGCTGGGTGGCTTCTCAGCTGAGGCTGAGTTCACACATTTCTCACAAAGTGAGAGTCACAGCTGCCTGTGCTGCAGCCCTACGCCCCTGGTGGTTGCTCAGGTGAACACCTCCGGGAAAACCCTCAGCATTTCCTGGACTATTTTCCACCAAGGATTACTTCGTATTTTATATATATTATATTTCTAAAAGCACCTCGTAGCATTTCCATTGTCACTGTGTGTTCACGAGCACAACAAAACCGCGACAGACCACCTGACTGTTTTTAAAGCGAGGGCTGAGAGGCAGTTTGACCGCAGCTGCTGCACCTGTCCACTTGCAGCGCGGCTCCAACCAGCCCGGGACTTCAGAGTCCACATGTCAGCCACTTCAGACGGTTACGTGGTTACTTAATGAGCATCAAAAATCTGTAATTTGCGCAAAATGGACCGAGTCGTTACTAAAGTTCTAGATCTAAACTTTAGTTGGATCACATCCAGCTCGTCGTAACACCAGATGTCTTCAGCAACAGAACAGAAGTCCAGTTACTTCATGGTTTTCTTTGAATTTTCCATCTCCTGGATGACTGAGAATCCACAGAAGCATCTGGTAGTAACTGTGTTTGACCATGTCAGTATTAAAGTGGATAGATATTTTAGTTAGCTTTGCTTGGAGCACGTAACGTTGCTCTCATTCCATAAATGCACACTTCAACAGAGCAGCTGATCAGAGAGAGGTTAAAATATAACCCATGAACTAAACAAGTATGTCAGATTTAATTATTAATCATTCAACGGGTTCTGATTGAACAACAACTTCAGACAAGTTAACAAGTAGCATCCACCATATCAACCTGCAGCAAGCAGAATGTGATGTCATGTCATCTTCTGCACATACTGACACCGGTACTGGTGCATCCCTAATATGAAACAGTAATTGGGGGGGAATGGATTGTAATAAGAGGACTTAAACATTTTTAAAGAACATTTTCAGTTTTGAAAGCCAGTGTAAAAGAACAGGTTGCTAACACAGGTTAGCAAAAAAAAAGTTCTAGCTAAATCAGTATTCATCCTGTTGTCGGAAGCCTATAAAGTACCTGGTAAATGAGTGGCATGCGTCATGCACAAAATCCTCAACTGTGCTGTTTTTCACTGAGGCAAGAGACCATGAATCAGCACAGAAACACTACAAATTCAACGCAGTTGCCGGACTGCTAGTCCCCTGCATTGTAGCAAACACTTGAACTGTACCTGTCAATACAATCAAAGTCAATTACTGTATGGCCCTTGGGAATGTTGTCTTTTTTAAGTTTACTTGAATAAATGCATTGGAGTTGGACATCATGCATGGCCTACTGCATTGTCAGACACCTGTTATTTTTGGGATTCTCCACAATTCTTGTGGTATTGTCTCTGTTCAAAAACATTTTTGCTCTGTTTTTGACATCTAGCAAAATCACTCATGATTTTTGACAGTCATTCACAAGATCAGTCCATAATTTTAACTGAACATGCAACATCAGAACATTAGATGAGTTAGTTTAAACTTGGGATTGCAAGGTGGTTGGCTCCGCATTTAAAAGGTGATGGAAAGATGTTTTTATTTTGATTAACAATCAATCTGTTTGCACAAAATAGTTTGGTTAAAGGCTTCAGTCTGCTTTTAAAATCTATAAAACATAAGCAACCTTTTTTAGTCACAATTTTAGCACATTTTTTATCACCTTTTCCATCTAATTTTATTTTACAGTGGGCTTGCTTGTGTCTTTCATGAATTGTTGGGAGTCTCTGTCTATTTAGCTGTATAGTTGGGTATTTTTGCTGAATATTTTATGAACAGTTCTTTTCATAAAACAAAACATGTTGAGTTTTTTAATTTTTCATAATTATTTTCACACTATTTTTTTCTGTTTCTTTTATTTTTACTTTTTTGCATGCTTGCTTAACCTTTAACAATAACACAACTCAAACCCCTCAGTCAGCTATATTTGTCTCTCTGCAGGAGTTCAACACAACTGGCTCTAGTAACATTGATACAGGGAAGGCTTCTGGTAATCTGGAGACCAAATACAAGATGCAGGAGCATGGTCTGAGTGTCAGTCAGAAGTGGAATACAGACAACACTCTGACTACTGAGGTCACTGTGGAGGACCAGGTGTGTATTTAAGTTAATTTTCTATACATACAAACAATTCATGGGTGTAAATGTGTTGATGCAGTTTTAATTTACTTGCAGCTCGCTCAGGGACTGAAAGTTGGATTGGATACGTCTTTTGTACCAAATACAGGGTGAGACTATATTTGTGTGGTTTGTGTGATGTGTGGAGATGATGTAAAATCGAGGTGGGAATCTTTAGGCACTTCACAGTTCTATGACACTTCAGAGAGATGCAATGCAGTTATTTAATGGTTGTAGAAAGATTTCAATTATCTGAAATGACTATGGCTTATTTTACAGGGTATGTTTTATCCTTATAACAAGACAAACTAAAACTGCGAAGCAGTCATGACTGGGTTCCAAGCCCGATTATGTATGACGTCCCTGGCCCATGTTGTTCCTAGCACGCTGTCGACTTGTGCACCACAGAGTAGTATGAGGAGTATGTATAAGGTCTATTTAAGGCCCTAATGTCTTAAATATATCTACTGTATTTATTCGTGTATAATACGATCTAGGGCTGGGCGATATGGCAAATCGGCTGATCACGTTTAATATCACAATTTTTTTGTTAACCTAATAAGTGACTGAAAAATAATTTAAGAAATAAATAGCTACAGAAATAAAAATAATGGCTGTAATTTCACTTTCACTAATATAACAAATACCGTATTTTTTGGACTATAAGTCGTGACTTTTTTCCTGAACTTTGAACCATGTGGCTTATAGTCCGGTGCGGCTTATACATGGATTTTTTTCTTCAGCCACCAGGGGGCTCTTATGCTCCATTTGCTTCAACCACTCGCTTCAAAAAAAAGAAAGGAAAAAAAGAAAGAAAAAAGCGATCCTTCCAGAGCCGACTGTTGTACCAGGAAGCAGCAATTTAAAGATAGTCAATTGTCAAGATTAGAGAGTGTTCAACAAATGGCAGAACCGAATAACCAGACCGAGAGACCAAACAATGAAAAATAAGGTAAGTGTACTTTTATTATTTACAGGTGAATGGGACTTCAGCTGCAAAAGAGAAAAATAACTTGGTGAGTAGAGGTTCCAGAATGGGGTAGATAGTGTAATGT